ACGTTGCCTGCAGTGCGTAGGCGCAAACCCCATGACTTTTTACGGCTGAAAGATGCTTGATCAGGCACCAACTGAAACGCCTTTATGACAGAGAAGTGGCAGAAGCTCGAAAGCATCCACTTTTCTTGTCAGTCCCAGAATATTTGGGTTATATTTTTGATTTGAGGTGGCAGAAGGTAGTTATTTTTATCAGCGATATCAAAGGCGCAGCTTTCTAGTAAACCGGGAATGTCAGGAATAATTTTGAATCTTCTTTTACTTCTTATTTTTCGTCAGTGTTTTCATTGAGGTCAGTCCTCCGTGAATATGAGATTGAAACACTAGACACTAGATAATATTTCAAATGATCTGCATACACAATTTCATTTTTCATTCACATGGATTAGGACATGAATATTCCCATCGTGCTTTATTTCACGATTCTGTTGAACGGAAGTCCCAAACGGTTCCTTCCACGTTCGTAGGTAAAGAACCATCTCTGGACAGCTGTTACTTCATTAGCCGACTCTTGTCGGTTCATGACAAGCACTTCTGTCTTTGATGGTTACGTTTAAAAACCTCAAGGGCCTGGCAAGCCTGATTGGTCTTGAATTGCAGTTCAGTACTTTGATCATGGCTGGTCCACTGTGATTTAGAGAAGAAACTGTATGGTTTAAGGACGTCAGTTACGCAAAAAGCCAAACAGCTGTTTGACACCTTGTGCTGTGAATAAATGGATGAAAAGTATGGCAGCGAAACTTTTCGTAATAGTGCCTTAACACTGAACACCGTCGACAGAGTACCGTGGTCAGTGAGGTAGCTTGAAATTCCGTTTATCTTTTCTGTTCTTGGAGTGGGGACACGGCAGAGTTTGAAAATGTCGTTAACCTCACCTCAACTTCTGAGTATTGGCAGGAGACGTCGAGAGTCCGGAGTAAAGTTGTTTGTTACACTTGATCTACGTCGTTCTGGACACCCCTTGGAGTTTCATGTTTCCTGATCAAGCAAAGACTAACTAATTGGTCATCGTATTTACTTGATTTATCCAAACCACCGTTGATGCAATCTCTCAATCTTGAGAAATAGCCGCTCAATTTGCAAATTGATTAGCTATTGGACGATGGGTTGGATATCGACGTTTCAGGCTGTGTATCACAGAACTTCTTCGAGATGTGCGTTTCTTCACTATCATTTACGTTCGCGTTGTGGCTCTTCAAAGGTGGTTTTCCAGTCCGCATGTTCTCTTAGTGAAACTGTATGGCATTTAATTCATCTGCTTAGTTAGATTGTTGTTCTTTGTGTTTTGTTGCTCCGTAGTCTCAACAACGAAAGCAAAATTAAAGGCCTGGAAATTTTCTGACGCATAACAAATGTCAGAATTTATTCAACCTCTAGGGTGATGATAATATGAACATGCAAATTTGGACAGTGCGATGATACCAAATTTCTACGTCCGGAAAATTCAGATCAAGCAAGGCATATTATCATCATTTTATTCCCGGGCCTCACTACCCGAGTCTCAGTGTCGTCATTACCGATCCAGGGGGCAAACGTTATGAAGAATATCACTTTTCATACAGCTTGCTTCGAAAACCAATGCAGACTGCGGCTGCCATGTGTAAATTTCTTCAGGTTTCTGTCTCTTGTCTTATCTATTATCACTAAGAGTCTAGTTTATGTGTTTTGAGAACAGGATACAGTGACCTTACCTGCATATCCATACTTTAGGCAACGTTAAATCTGTTATATTTCCGGTGCAACCATGACATTTCTTTTCAGCTCTGATGTACGCGAGCGTCTTCGGCAACGTTTCGGCTATCATTCAGCGCCTTTACTCTGGGACTGCGAGATACCACATCGAGATGAACAGGCTGAGGGAGTTCGTCCGATTTCACAAGGTGCCAAACCCTCTTCGTCAGCGGCTCGAGGAGTATTTCCAGCACGCATGGACGTACACGAACGGCATCGACATGAACATGGTTAATGGCGGATAGTTTATGCCAAGTAGAAATGAAAGCACGTTGTCAAATTTTGAGTTCGTTTCTCCTTGCGATATCTCAAGCCTGCAAATCTTTCGATTGCATCTATCTTACTGCCACAGGTGGCGTAGTGCATAATAGATCGCCTTCGAACTCGAACGCAGGATTATTGCGGCGGACGATCTTGCCTTGCCACCAACTTCATTGAGGCAAGTAACTTACCAGACTTTGCTTCAGACCGGGATTGCTTGGTCGCGAGATCGTCAGACTCAAAATCAGAGGTCCAGAGTTCAAGACCCGCTCTGGGTCACTCGCCTTTCCTCCTTATGAGATTGATAAATGGATACCGTTCGAATAAATGAGTGGGAAGGAAACAGGAAAATCCGGACTATGCTTCTCATATAGCTGCTGTCAATTTTGCCTTTAAAAGAAATTGCGGTTGATGAAATGGAATTGGGGATCAGCAGCCCTTCTCCAGCATTAATTACATGAAAACAGGGGTGCTAAAACTGGCCCCATCTCGTAAGTATAAGAGTTCACACTCTCTTTTCCACCCTGTTCATCTTGGTGAGTTATAGTCAAATCCTACAGGTCTTCAGCAACCATGACAATTACAAGTTCTTTTTCATTTCAACAATGGTAAAATTTTAATTTGAATTTACTTCAGGTTATTGATTCTGGGCTCATGCTACGGTCTATGTAGCGAAGCACGTAGGCAATCAATTGTTATACCATCCATTGTATTTGGTGCCGTGAATCATGAATCGTTCAAGCACCTGTCTATTTAATTTGATTTTGTCTAAATCATTCCACCTGATTTGGAAGATATCAGTGTGAATTTTTTCTTCATATTGCTGTGTAACATAACTGCCTGACGTTTCGACGCTTGCCCGTCCGATTGCCCTCTTCCTTCGCCAGAGCTGAAGCGAATTAAATCATGACATCGTGCTTCATTTCGATACATCGATCTCGCTTTCTGTCAATGGCGTTATCACCACGTATTGTAGGTGCTAAAACAATTTCCTGATTGCATTCAAGCAGACATATGCCTTCACCTGAACCGGATTCTATTGAACCGATGTCAAGCCTTCCAAGGAGCAAGTCCAGGCTGCCTTCGGGCACTAAGCATGCGGTAGCTACTGTTAGACTAAGGTTTGAAAAGAACTTCAAAAAATAATTGATTCAAATCATGTCTTTTTTTCAGGTTCCGCACGACGCATGCCCCTCCAGGAGACACGCTGGTTCACAAAGGCGACGTGCTGACTGCGTTGTATTTCATCGCCAGGGGCTCAGTGGAGATCTTGAAGGACGAAGTGGTCGTCGCGATACTCGGTACGATTTTCATTCACGTCGTGGTCATCGTTTGTGACTACGGTTTGCTCACTTTCAGGAAAGGAAGACATCTTTGGCGAAAACCCGTTGCTGAACGAAACGGTCGGAAAGTCGGCGTACAACGTGCGCGCCCTGACCTACTGTGATTTGCACAAGATTTACCTAGATGACCTGCTGGACGTGTTGGACATGTATCCAGAGTTCGCTGAGCAGTTCTCTCAGAACCTGAACATCACGTTCAACCTCAGAGACGTACGGTTTTCGATTTGTGTTTGCGGCTATAGTTTTTCTGGCAGCTTGCGCGTTTAGAACGAGCTGCACACTCGGCTGTCAGCAGATAATTTCGGCTCCTCGTTCTCGGCCGGTAAGCTGTACGACGAGGACTGGGGTGAGAGCCAATTGTCATACGGTAGGCTGACATCATCTGTGTAAACACACTGCATTATAGACTACGACTCACACGGCGGCCGACGAAACTGGTGTCGCCACAGCAGACGCGCCAGGTGGTCTTCGAGGCGCCTCAAAAGCGTTCAGAGGAAGCAGGACGACACAGGTGCACCGATGCCTTACCCCGTTGGCGAAACAGCTGTTTCTCACTCTCACGACCGCTGTAGCACCCGCATCGTCGAGCTGACGCCGTCTCAGGCAGGTCTCGACGTCACGCCAGCCAACTTCAATTTCACCCAGAGGGCCGTCTCATCCAAAGAAGGTAATTGTGTGATGCGTGATTTCATTTGACACCACTGCGTCCATGCACTGCCGGTACTGAAAGTTTACGGAGCAGGTGCCTACTTAAATGCCTATTGGTTGTCTAGTAGCATGGAGGCGGCGCGACGTAGCTGCATGTTGTCGTTTGGTCATGAACACCTGAGACTAGTAGAGCTGATGCAGCAAAGTAACCCGGATTTACGATGTCTGTCCATCGGGAATGGTACGACAGATTAATATTGAGTTACAACCCCTGCTACTACGAAGGTTATATCCTCTTCGAAGGCAGGTATGCCTCAGTGATGAGGTGTTTCCGCATTTGG